AATCCCTTTAAGATAAAGGGATTTGTTTTAGAGAATAAGGAGAAAACTTATGAAAGTAGAGCCCGGAAATGTTGCAGTTTATGGATTAAACACTTTAGGCTGTGAATACTATATGTTACCTCTATTAGGTAATATAATTTTATGGCAAAGAGAAAATACATTTGCCAGATATTTGATGTAAAGAGTGAGGTTAACTTTTTACATGGAAGAAACTTATTTTCCAAAAAAAAATTCTAAAGCCAAGAAAAGTTGTTAAGTACTAAAAGTACAACAGGAGACTAAGTAGACTGTTGGGTAAAGAGCTATAACCATACGCCGCTCAAATTGCCCCTGTTACATAGCAGCATTGGCTTGTCCATGTATGGCATTACTCAGTCGCTGTGTAATTGCCATTAGAAAACGTGCTAGGCAGGAAGGACAACACAAACATGAATAAGGCCTGATACTCAGGTGGAAATGGTAAGTACAAAAACAGTATAAGGGTTTTAATTTATGGATTTCCTCCCAAGAATTAATGTCTAATTTTATTATGAGAATCAATGGGCAAATGGTATTTTTGATATAGCTGCTGTCTTCTGAAAACATTTTCTTTAAATTAAACACTTCCTATATGGTGTCATGTGGTCATTTTGCAACCATTGAAGGGTATAATTAAAAAAGCAATAATAAAGTTTAGGAAAATAATGGGCAGTAAACACATTTTTATGAATGGGATAAGAAGTATATTCTAATAAGGTGCCTATGAAAGGGTCCTCTAATTGTAAGTTGGAGACAGGAAATATTTTCCTCACCCTTTTCATGGAAATAGCAGAACCCATCTTCCTTTGGAAGGCAGAGCAAAATCGTATTTTTCAAAGCTTCCCTCACCTTTGCAGAAAGTGCTAATATTTTACAGAATTGATTCTTAATCACTGGGATGCTGTATTGAGAAGATTGTCTTAATCAGTGTGCTGCTATATATTCCATTGATTGGTAATGTGTAGCACTTTTCAAAAATTAATGACCACTTATATTAAAATATAATTTCCATAACAGTTAAGGCTTGATTTTGAGCCGTAATCTTTGAAATACAATATGGGGGTTCAGAAATTCCCTTTCAGGAAACAGGTTTAGAACTTGCCTATTAACAGCATTACCAGGTCTTTGGTCTACTGTGTCTAGTCCACTACACCAAGCTAGCTGCTTTGAGAGGTACCATTGAGAGAGAGGCTATATGTACTTTTAGTCACCGAGTGGCAATGCAGCATACTGGTCAATGGCAGGAAATAAAGAGGAGCTTTGGAGTTTCCTGGATTCAGGTTTCATCCTGCCCCTGCCACTTTCTACCTGTTGTGACCCTGGGGACAGGTAACTTAACCTCTTCAAATTTGTTTATCACAGGAAAAGGGAGACAATAGTACTCACCATACAGGATTATAAATTATAAAATGGTCATAAAGGATTTAGCATAGTGTCTGGTACAACTCATACCACATGACAGCTTTAATACAAAGTAACAAGAAGACTATATGTGTAAGCTATATGAAGTAATCATGTGGTTCAGATATTAATTGGTATAATTCTTTGGCACAGAATTTGCCATTTCCATTAAGCATCAAACATACAGCTCAAATAATGGATTCTCATTATTTACAGTAGTTATGGTCTATAAAGTCAACAATGAATTAGTGAATATTGAGCCATTGCTCTTAAGGGAAAATTATATATATATATATATATATATATATACACACACACATAGATATATATAGATATATATAGAGCTTAATACACATAGTATATATAGATAGATATATAGATAGATATAGATATATATAGATAGTAGATATATAATCTATACCTATATCTAAACATATACATATATCTCAGATTATAATCTTAAATCCTGGGAACATTCTGGTAGATTCTTTTTGCAAAAGAGAAAAGGTTTAGGAGTGCCAAGTGGCTTTCCTGAGGCTGCCCCACTACCCAGTGTGAGAGTTGGGATTCAAACCTAGTCCAGCTGGCCCCAGAACTTTAGCTTCTGGCCCTAAATTGCACTGCCCCCTACTGTCTCCATCTGGTCATCTCTGTATGAAAGCTGAATAAGAATGCAGAGCGTCACCTTGTTGGATCTCATCTGGAAAAGTGTGGGTCTGACATTTTTTACTACTCTATTTTCACAACATACCTTGAGTACTGATTTGGGGGTTACAAATACATTTTAGTGAGTAAGTGAACTCAGAAATACAGAATCTGCAAATGATAAGTATCAACTATTCACTGTGTGTGTATGTCATATATACATAAGCACAAAAGAATAGGGGAATGACTAGTAGTCACTTTTGAATGAGAAAAGAAGGGGGTAGAAGGATAGACATTACTTTGTTAAAGGAAAAAAATATTTTTACTTACACATGCAGTTTATGTAGTTTTTAAATTAACAAGATTACAATAACATTTAGAAAAACATGTCAGAGGGTTTAAAACGACCTATATTTAAAAACTGGAAGCAACAATCATCACTCAGCAGTGTATCCTGATTAAATCTGTAACACCAAATGGAACATAATGAGGAAAACATTTAAGTACTTGATAAGGGCTTGATGGGAATAATATTACACGGAGGAACAGATAGCTCCACAAAACTTGAATTGGGATTTGACTTTATAGGAAGAAAGTTATCAGAAACCTGTGAACAAACAAAAAATGCAAACCCTAATTCAAAACGTCAGTTACCTAACATGCTGTAAGTATGCTATCAAATACATTACCATGTACGGTGCTCTCCGCTCCGCCTTGGTCTTTGTGTACTTCTGTCTGGTGGATTAATTCTTCTTTTTCTTTTTCCAGCTTACTATTAGCTAATCTAGAGCACAATGGTAATGTTATAAAAAAACAAACAAACCAAAACCACTGTTCCACAAAATATATGGCATTTCCTATGAACTATAATGTACAGTGCTTAGAACTAACAGATATTTATAAAGGTATTCATTTACTTTCCCTGCTGCAATATTACCATTCTTAAAGAAAGATCATGGAATCAAAAGTCTTCATGTTTTTCTTAACATCTGACCTGATGTTATTTTCAAGAGATGTTTTCCTACTGGAAGAGCTCCTGAGAGCAGGCTACTCAGAACCCAGGAAGTAAAGGCTCCCCCACCCCCCGCCCCCTCTTTCATTAGTATTTGCCTCTGAAAAATTAAGGTCTGTGCTACTAAGAAAGTTTAAACTACATTACAAACGATAATTATATTAGGACCTGGTTTACCATGATTTTTCTCCCAGCATCTATTATATAAAAGATAGAATGATTGGAATTAGGAGGATAAAATAAGGCTGATAAGCCGCTTAGATAGCAAGGTTGAAAAATCTTACTCTCTAGATATAGTAAACCTGGTTAAATAAAAAGGTAAAAAAGAAAAGAGTTGTCATATGAAGAGATAACGTACCTAAGAACTTGAAGCTCCCTTTGAAGGCCTTCCTTTGTTTCAGCACCTTCAGGAATATGTTTGAGAATCTCAATCTTTGGGCATAATGAAAAATTAGAAAACAAAGTTAGACATGAAAATGAGATTTTATAAACATATATTTTCAATAAAGCATACTATTAAAAGTTGGGTTTTTAAAAGCACAGATGAGCATGCATCCATCATGTTCCACTCAGTTACTCAGTGCTCATTCAACAATTACTAGTACATGCCATGCACTGTACAAGGCATAGAGGACACAGAGCGAAAAAAGCAGGCAAAGTCCCTTGCTCCCTGTTCCCATGGTTCTTATATTTTTAGTGAGGAAAGACAATGAGTGTGTGCTGTGAGGTGATAACAGTACCAGATGGAAAATAACCCAGGGTAAGAGACTAAAGAGTGATGGAAGGTACTATAGGGTTAGGGAAGGTCTAAGCCTCCATTTTAACAGAGATGTAAAGTGAGGAAGTGAGCTATAGGAATATTTGGGTAAATCTTACTTGAAACAAGAGCAAGGCCCTGAAGCTTGAATGAATTTGGTTTGTTCAAAGGACTGAAAGGTCAATGTGGCTAGAACACTGTGGATGAAGGGAAGGTAAAGGGGAGGCTAAAGAGGAAAGCAGATGCCAGACCACGTGGGTCCTTACAGGTATGAGAAGAACTTTAGTTTTACTCCAGGATAATGGAACCACTGGAAGAGTCTACGGATGGGACCGCTATATTTGCTTTATGCTTCAAAAGGATTACTTGGAAACTATGTGGAAAAAATAGACCAGGGAAGGGAGGAGGCGAAACAAGGCAAGAGTAGAAGCAGGGACAGTGATGGCAAACCTTTTGAGCTTGGCGTGTCAGTATTTTGAAAAACCCTAACTTAACTCTGGTGCTGTGTCACATATAGAAATTTGTTGATATTTGCAACCATAGTAAAACAAAGACTTATATTTTTGATACTTATTTTATAACTTAAATGTCATTTAACAAAGAAAAATCAACCAAAAAAATGAGTTTGCGTGTCACCTCTGACATGCGTGTCATAGGTTTGCCATCATTGAGTTAGGAGATAATGAGAATAGTTCAGGTGTGATAGAACAGCTTGGACTAGCCTGGCAGTGTTAGAGGTGTTGAGACATTGTCAGATTTGGGGTAGACTTTGAAAACTGAGCTAACATGATTTATGAAAAAGATATGAGGTGTGTGGGAAAAAAAGGAGCTGATGATCTAAGGTTTGGGACTTAAACAAATGGGTGAATGATGGTGTCATTCTCTTAGATGGGTCTTCCAGGGTAGGAATTAGTCAGGAGTTCATTTTTAGCTATATTAGACAATATCAAGGAGGGGCTTGAGATATAATACATTATTTTATCATGTAAATATAAATTACATTACTTGCCTGTTGCTCAAGGTCTTCGGTGTATTTCTTAACTTTTTGTTCCCTCTTTGTTGCTTGTCTTACAAGCTGTTTAAGATCAGTAAGACTTTGTGTTTTTTTGGCAATATCAGTTTCCAATTCTTTCAATTTGGTTTCATACATTCTAAAAGTATAAGGAAAATAATAGGTGTAAACATGGAAAATAATTTCATTGATTTAAGACAGTTCAAATTATTGCACTAAAAATAACAAAGAATATCTTATTATACTGTTTCTTTAAGTCAAACCTTTTGCTACCTATTTATTTAGCATTAGCTGACAGTAAGTACTCATAACTAACAAACAGGCCAATTAAAAAAGAGAAGTTAGGTGTTTCCCAAGGTTATAAATAAGGGTGGAGCCTGAATTTGATCAATGTAAAATATTAAATGTATTTTTCAGTCGCAAAACAAAAAATTAAAAGTAAAATTCATTAGAATATCAAATTCTATATTCTTGGATATTCTTTTTTTAAAAATATGTTTTTATTGATTTCAGAGAAAGGAAGGGAAAGTGCGAGAAAGATAGACACATTGATGAAAGAGAAACATAGATTAGCTGCCTCCTTAACACTCCCTACTAGGGATCCAGCCTGCAGCCCAGGCATGTGCCTTGATCGGGAATCGAACCAGCAACCTCCTGGTGCATGGGACTACACTCAATCCACTGAGCTGTACCGGCTGGGCTGTTGGATAATATTATGAATATAGTTAAAGATCACAAGTTAAAGCATTTCATACACACACACACACACACACACACACACACACACCAAAAAGGTATCCAGGTAGAACAAAATCAAAAGGACACAGGACACTGCTGGGAGAAGAGAGAGAATATGCAAAAGCATGGATGAGTGAAATGGCCTATGATGGGGAGGGATGAAGCTTATAAAAATCTGAATAGATACATAACCTTTAGAGAAATGATAAATAGTTCAGAAAAAAACACATAACAACAAACCCAAATGCCAATAAAAAATTTTAAAACATTGAGCCAAAATGGTTTTACAAGCACATCATAACACCTTAAAGGGAGACAATGCTTATAATATTATAACTTTTCCAGAGAAAAGAAGGAATTTTATGGTAACAAAATCAGGTAAGGCCAGTATAAGCAAGAAAAATTATTATCTCAATACATTCCAAAAGCTTTTGATAAATCTTAGAAACTCAGATTAGAAGGCAATGTTCTTACCCTAACAAAGACTATCAACCAAAGTGGTAAAATTTTAGAAGCTCACTTCTTCATTTCATTCAATTTTCTTTCTGAAATGCCACCCAATCAGAGGGGCCTTCTCTGATCGCCTAGGGCTGCATCACCTAGCCTGTCTCAGCAGTCAGTATAAGCTGACATGGATCCCAGTTACAGACTGTAGGAATTTCTTTGGTGTATTTAGAGAGGCTGGAGGCCAAGGATCAAAATGAGTCTTCTGTCAAGTGGATTCTACCAGGTAGTTTTCAAGAGGGTTTACTGAATGACTAGTGCAGTGGTCGGCAAACCGTGGCTCGCGAGCCACATGTGGCTCTTTGGCCCTTTGAGTATGGCTCTTCCACAAAATACCATGTGCGGGCGCACATGTACAGTGCGATTGAAACTTCGTGGCCCATGCACGGAAGTCGATTTTTGGCCTAGGCAAGTCTATTTTGAAGAAGTGGCGTTAGAAGAAGTGGGGGGGGCGGTTGGTCGGTCGGTCGGTCAGTCAGGGGACCGGAGATGCGGCGCAGGCAGGCCGCGGGATATGCAGCACGGGGGAGGCACCCGCAATTCATGCAGGAGTTGAGTGAGCCAGTCAGTCAACAGCCTCATTGTGCAGTGGTTAGTGCTAGTCGCGTCTGCAAATTGTGCGCAGGTGACAAAAGTACCTACTCGAAGCATAAAATTACCTGTATTTTTCCAACCAGCTGCAAATCCTACAGGTATTTTTGTCATCAATTTAAGAATGGTAATTATTTTGTGTTGGTGGCTTTATTATTATAAAATGAAACATTTTTTTTAGGTAAGTTGAGATGGTTTGGACATAGCCTAGAGTATGCTCAGTTACCTGTACTGTTCTCAGATTAAACACACAATCTAAAAGGCAAAGTCATCTTCAGTTAAATATTACCACCCCTCTCAAATATTTATGAACTTCAGAAACCCTTTTCACATTAATAATCTTCTCTAAAGGCTCACAGAGCCCTTTTTAGAAAAGGAAGGACAGGGGTTATCATTTTCATAGATACAAAACTTGATCTCACAGAGAAGTGATGTAATGTAGTTAAGGTCACAGTGAAATTAGGTGTTTCTCCATGCAGCTACCTGGCTCTCTGAAGGAAGCTAAGCAAAGGAGGGCTGTTAGGAAAACAAAAAGCACAGAGTCTGGCATGCAGCAGGTACTGAGCAAATATTTGCTGAATACATACATCTTAAAGCAACTCAAAATCCCTTGAGCCCATACATTATTATAGAATAAAATAAAGAACCAAAAAAATCAACTGACACTGTTGCTGATTGAGAGCCTCTGCTGGGGTCCAAGCAGACAAAAGAAGAAACACCTTCTCCCCTTTATCCTGTTACACTTGCCCTCTGACAGTAGTAAGAGAAGGCTAGAATGGGGAACAGTGGCTTTGATTTCTCAGTATATTAGGACAGGAACCAAGGACCCCTCACCAGGACCGCCTCGCCACCTGTGCTGCCCTCTAATTATCTGCATAACCTTCTTTTTTCCTTAGACTTGGCTGACAAGGAAGTCTTATCAGCCAAGTGCAGGTCCACTAAGGGACTTGTAGCCTCAAATGCTAAGGCTTCCATCCTAGTTGTAGGAGTGGTGATTGCCATCCCATCCCTCATCAAGTCCATCCTAAATAGCAGGTAAACAATGAAAGGGAAACTAGGGATGCATGGACATAAAGAACCCTACGAATATGGGAAGATAAAGATGTGTTTGCCTTTGAAATGGGGCCAGCAGAAATAAAGAACACAAGTAATACAGGATGGCTTTAATGGGAAAAGAATGGGCAAGATTTCATTGCCCATTCTTTTGTACTATTACTAAATAGGCTTTTGTACTATTACTAAAGGCCCAGTGCATGAAATTTGTACACTGGTAGGGTCCCTAGTGGCTGCCGGCGGCTGTCCAGGTACTCCCTCCCTTCGCCTGGCTGGCCCTACCACCTCATTGAACTCCTGGACAAACTCCCAGTTGAGGGGACAATTTGCATACTGTGCTTTTATTATATAGGATAAGCAGCTGCTTATGGTTGGAAATGAGATTGACATCAAAGCCTTTTATTGACTCATCAGTCATGATGAACGACTGAGGTGACAGTGGCAATGCACACAGGAATGTTACCTTGTGAATTCCCACCACCTCTTTCATAGCCACAAGGTTTATTTGACAGTCAGGCACCACACATACTTGTAGAAAAGGTTCACGGAGTAGGAGAAAAGCAAGTGAAAGGGAGCAGAGGCCAGTGAGACACTACAGTGGTTGCTGAATTCATCTGTTGGGGTTATTTGAAGAACAAGTTGCACAGAATACAATGCCAAAATGACAGCCCGGCCCAGAACCAGTGTGCCACAGGTTGTGACAAAATGGCTCAATTATGCCTGGCTTATACTTGAGTAAGCTGGACAAAAGCAGTGCCCAGGAGGAGATGGCACAGCCGTCTAGGCACCTGGCTGACAGCAGCTTCCAGATGCCCATCCAGCTCCAGGAGCTCAGCCCAGCTCAGCTCTGCTCTGTCCCAGGCCCTGCTTCCAAAATTATTTGAAGGAAGAAAAAG